ACTTAGAATATTGCTTCCACGTGGTCCGCTGCTACTGCTATATGTCTAGAGACCCGTGATAATGTCCAAAAAAGAATCAGAAATATCATTGGTCCTGATCTGGCGGTTCGGCTTCAGTCACTTTCCCACCGCCGTAAGGTTGCCACTCCAGTGTATTTTCTATATATATTTTCATAGTAATTGTTCAAATGAGATCTTCGCTATGGTACCTAGAGTTATTGAATTTAAGCGCGGTACTAGACTGGCCTGAAGACCTCTTTAGTTTACATTTGAGCTAGAGATAACCGTAAGTTCTAGGCTAACAGTTTCTTCACTCGCACTTCTGAATTGTGGAACTCCATTCCGGTGCCATGCTTTCCAGGCGACTGTAATCTTCAATCTCCTCCTGATTACTCTTCTTCTGTACTAGTTCCGTTGTAATGTCTCTGTTTTTTTTTATTTCTTCCACAACCATTTACCCCCTTGTGTATTAGTGGCTTTATTGCCTTGCTTAGAATGAACTTAATTAAAAGAAAAAAAAAAGAGGATTATTTAAATTATTCGGACTGTTATCCTTATCTTCATTTCCATATTCACAGCGTTTCTTCAAGTGATTGGATTTTGAACCGAACCATTTATTTCGCCCACCGGGAGAGAATGTTCTAGCTCCACGTGCCATGCCCCTTCCGGGTGTCTCTCAGTTATTTCCCTTTAATTCAACTCTCCAAGTTTTTTTTTGGTTCACCTCCAATGTAGCCTGGTATTGAACTCACAACTCTTTGGGTGAGTCACTGGATCTATCCAATGTCTTTATCAACTGGGCCATGTTTCCTTGAGGATATCCGGAAGAAACATGACATGTGGAACTAGAACAATCTACCCCGGTGGACAAAATGAATGGTCCGGCTCGAAATTCAAATCACTCGAAGAAGGCCGGAGCGTACAACGGCCGAAACGTTGTAAATATGGAAATGAAGATGAACATAACAGTCCGGATAATGTAAGTAATCATAATGCCTCATGTCAGAGATATTGACAGAGAAAAAAGGATTAGCTAACTTAGTTAATCCACTGGCTTACCGACACATTTTGTTACTGAGGCTGTAAGAAAAATCAAGCTGGGTGCCATATTGGTAGACAGTGGCCGTTTGTGGCTAATGAGGTCTGTCTTTGAAAATACGGCCACATTCTTCGCAAGAAAGAATTTCGCCCATTCACTTGTAAGGAGGTGGTCCACGTTTTTCCGCATATTTCAATTCGGCTTGGGCATCTCGACGTGGCGTAATGGTTAGAAAGCTTGTCTTGTTAAATCAATTACGACTGAGTAGTGAGTTCGATCCTCACTGGGTGCCCCTTGCTTTCGGACTTGTGCCATATCTAAGCTGTGCTTAGAAAATCACTACTTCAATTCGGCAGATGCAATTCGGTTGTTTTCGAATACTGTAGCAGTAGTTGCAACAAGTTTACTCTACCTCACCCTATCTGATGCAAGATCCTCCCCTGTGCTGCTATTGATGTTGAACTTTTTAAGTGTGTCTTTCAAGTAGTGCTTATACTAATTTCGCGGCTTGCACTGGGTGGGCGTGTCCGGCACTAGTTAGGCAGACAGGACTTCCTTTAACATGCGAGTGTCCTCCAAGCCGATCAAGTGTCCAGATCATCTTAGTCGATATTTCGTAATCACTGAGTCATTACTTGGCATATTGAACAAATGACTCTTGTTCAACGCCAAATATAAAGGCATACTAAAGTGAGAGATTTTAATAGATATCTGTTAATAGGAGCAACCGCAGTGTTGTGGGTACATGTGTTTAAGAAATATATTAACAGTCAGTCAGTTATGTGCCATGCGTGATACACGCTTAGACAATCATGTATCTTTCGATACATGACTGACAAGGCAGTTTTTCCCACAGTAAGTTGCCATTTCTTTCTCCGGTAAACCCGTTGCCGTCCATGGCTATAGAACCTGGTCTGTCCTGCTATTTACCCATAGCTGGAGGGGAGAATATATATACCTTTCTCAAGGGTATTAGCACGTAAGAGAAAGTATTGGATTTGACTGGAATTCGAACTCGGCACTCCGATTCCCCAACCCTAGCCGCTATCCATTACTGCACCGTAAAAAAATCTCCAATGAATTTTGGGAAGAAAAGATCTGCTATATATATATATATATATATATATATATATATATTGTAGATTATCTACCGCAGTAGGTTACCATTCATTTCTGCGGTAGACTAGTTGCTATCCAAGGTTATAGAACCCAGTCCGTCCTGCTATTTACCCATAACTAGGGAGAAAAGAAGAGGATTTATACCTTTCCCAAACGATCATAAGTAACCATAAACCATTACATTTTGATGCATTTCTAAGCTGTTTAGATCATGATGGTTAATCGAATATCTTGATAATTCTGGGCTACTTTTAAACGTTGAACCTATGTCTTGTAGGACAACAATCACTAGAATTAATATATATATATATATATATATATATATATATATATATATATATATATATATATATATATATATATATATATATATATATATATATATATATATATATATATATATATATATATATATATATATATATATATATATATATATATATATATATATATATATATATATATATAGTTCCGGTTAACGCTAAAAATTAATATATATATATATATATATATATATATATATATATATATATAAATCCCTTTTGAAATAAAAAAAAGTTCGACATTGTTCCGTTTTACACTAAATTGAAAAATATATATATATATATATATATATATATATATATATATATATATATATCGATTTTATTTCGATATATATATATTTATATCGATTTTACATTAGAATAAATAAGTTGACATAGGCCTGATGTAGACTAAAGTTAAATAGGTAAATATTGGTCTGGTTAATTAAAGTATAAAAGGTAAACATAAATTCGGTTTGTAGTAAAAACAGAACCTGTGAATAAACTTATACCAAAGATTTATTGCATTTTACTCTAACTACTCGTCTACTGACGAATGTAAATGATGGTTTTTATGCCTCCTAGATCTTAAGGGGAGATAACTGATTATTTATCAATACACGGTTTACACTAGAATTAAAATTTTTGCCATAATTCCGGTTTAACAAGAATTATAAAAATAAATGTAAGCCTGTTTTATACTAGAATAAAACAAAATTTGACATAAGTACGTTTTATACTAAAGTAACAAAAAAAGTGGTTGACATCGGTTCGGTTTATATTAGAGTATAAATGGTAGACATAGGTTTTGTTTACATTAGAAATTAAAATGGTTGACATCGGTCCGGTTTGCAGTAAAATAAAAAGTCAGAATTCGTTTGAATATATGCCGGAAAGTGGGATTTTTGCGTAATCGTAAACCAATTCTCGTTCAACTGAGATTCGTGTTGGTAAAGGGTTCAGTGATAAGAAAGTTTTAATTTTAGCTCCCTATTATTTTTCCATATTTGATGATTTCCAAACGTCGGACAAATCTCCTTCTTTAGCCTGTTTATCTAATATTGCTTGATGGGGTGAATACCAAATATATCAGGTTATCATAATGTGTGGACAAATCACGCTGGTCTTCCAAACTTTTGTGCTGGATTGGAACCATTTTCATTCTATTTTGCAGAAGAGTTTTCTAAATATATGCTGTCGCAGAAAAAAAAAACAAGAAAAAAAAACAACATGTTTTCTTTGTTGTTATAATTTATAAAATTGTACCTTGAAGATAAAAAAACCCCAAAAAACATCCAAAATGCAGAGATATGTGGAAGGAAAGAAGGATGAAGACGAAGAGATGAAAATAGAAAGAAGCGTTATCGAATAAAAAATGTTTTGAAAATACAAATATAAATATACAGACATCAAGTAAAAGTCTACACAAGTATTTGAAAAAAAACCCACTCTTCTCATAATCCTACATTTGCCGATGCTTAAAGGAAAATTTTAGCAGATCATCTCCAGCATGATATAAATGTATATAAATGACTTTCCTTTGAAAAGTAAAAATAAAATAATTCTCAGAATATCAGATTCAAAACACTTGTAACGTGAATAATTCATTTTTTTACTCTTACTCAGGACTAAAGAATAGTATGATGACTCATCAACAGTTTTCAAGTGGTTATTCGGCATTCATAGCTAATGTATTTTCCCGACATAATTCCTGATGAACATCTATGTAAGATTATCGATTAGAAAAAGTATATAAATTATTCTTCAAAAATAAGCTTTGTGTTTCACTTCCAGTAAAGAGAGAATAGTAGATCTACCAAATATCATAGCGGAAAGAATAGAAATTTGATGGTGTCATGTCAACCAAATTATACTCCTCATAATACCTCCAGACGGTCTCGGCTGATGGCATTGGTATTCGTAATTGTGTTAACAATGATCTTGAACAAGCGATTAACACACCAAGAAGTCGGACTGGGGTTAAACTAAATCTATTATCTGGAACTGGAATGAAAGCAATGATGGCACATATCCTTAATCCATCACAGTAATTCCGAATATAGAATTAATAAAGAGTAAACACTAAATATCTCAGTGTACGAATAAATTGTAAAAGAATAAATAGTACAAAAGATAATGGAAGTAAAAAAAGAATTGTTGCATAGTGGAGTACCGACCATATAAATATGGTTGGTACCGGGAAGAGAGGGAGGAATCAAGAGATTCACTCTCAGTCGAACTCTCTGCAGTGAGGGACCCGGACGAGTCTTTGCCGAGAGGCAGGGTTTCGTCCGGGGTGGTAGGCGGGTTCAGAAAGGCCATATTTTTGGCCGAGCCTACGGGCTCGGAGATACCCACTTTAAACCGGCCTTGTGTCACATTTTATCCTCGTGGGTGGATAGATAAATACAGGAATCAAGAGATTCAACCAGAGACTCTGCCCGACTGCGACTCAGTCAACACATTCTCCAGGAACGGTCTTACCAGGAATATACAAAAGACTATATGTAAATATTGTGTACACTTTCTTGTTTCAATACATTTTGTTCTAAGTACATTTTGTGTTGCATTATTATTCCATGCATTAGTCAAGTTTCAACAAGAATAGTTTCAGTTATGCGTAGTCATGTCCAGCACCGCAAGATATTTCAAAGTCAAAAGTTTATAAAAACTTAAAAAAATTCAAATCATAGTCTTAAGTTGCATTGTCAAATCTTGACTGTCATATGGATGTCACGCATAGCGTACGACTAAACTGGCATGTAATTATTTACCTGCTGCTCCACGTAGCAAGTTGTGGCACAAGGCCGAGTTTTAAAGTGGGGTATCTGAGCCCTTAGGCTCGGGCAAAAATATAGACCACGTAAAAAAGGAGTCAGTTTCCCGAGACGAGACTCTGCCCTTCGGCAGAGCCTCGTCTGGAGGATACCCTCTGACATGTGCCTGGTTAGTATAATCTGGCATATATATATACAACCCTTTTCTTCAAGTGAAAGAAGCCTGCGTGTCCTAAACAATCATTTGCCAAATTATCACATTACTAGAAAACCTCTAAAAGCAGCAGCAATTTGCAAATGGAAATCGAAGAGGGAATAATAACATCTGTCTATATTTCTGAGATGAGGTCTTATGTACATTATTTACATTATTCGGACTATTGTCCTCATCTTTCTCACCATATTTATCACAACGTTTCGTTGTACGCTCCGGCCTTCTTCAGGTGGTTGGAATGTCGCTCACTGGTGTAGACTGTTCTAGGCTAATGTTATTTTTCTGAAGCTGTGTAATCAGTGAAAGTCTTCAAGTAAATCATTTTCCAAAGTGCCTTACATATTTAATGCACACAGACACACACACACACACACACACACACACACATATATATATATTAATAAATTTGCCGTATTTACGTTATTTTTATCATATGATTTTTTTAAGTAAATCCTCAGTTTTCTTTTAATTAAACAGTATTAATTACATTTACTGAATGTTAGAGAAATTTAGTAGAAAATATGCTAAGCAGATGCATTTTTGTGACTAAATGGATAACAGCACATCATATCAAATGATGCTTCCCATTAAGGGTCACAGGTTCGATTGCTGCCGGAGAAGCACATATTTTCTACGAAATTTCTCGAACATTCAGTAAAGGTAATTAATACATTTTAATTTTACCGAGGATTTACTTAAATAAATTATATCTATAAATATAACATATAAACGGAAAATATATGAAAATAATTTTTGAACTTAATCCATTTCTTA